GAGGGGCGAGCGGGGGAGGGGCAGGAGCTCGGCAAGTGTTACAACTTCCTCCCGGCCCGCCGCCCGGCCGCCGCGGCGAGGGAGGCGAGGGGAGGGCAGCGCGCGCAGCGCCAATGAGTTCACTTTCTTTTTCTCCCCCGCGCGCTCCCCCTCTCCCTGCCCGCCGGCCCCCTCCAGCCTCCGCGGCGGACGAGGACCGAGTTTTCGGTTCCCGGCCCGGCCACCGGAGGACGGAGGAGACGAGGGAGGAGGAAGAGGAGGGAAAGGTGACCGGGAGAGCGGGGCGCTGTGCCAGGGAGCAGCATCCAGGACCGTGATCGTGGGCAGGGGGGACGCGCCGGGCCGAGTGTGCCCGAGACCAGGCGCGTACACGTGTCCGTGTGTGTGTGTGAGGAGTGTGTGTGAGCGAGAGGAGAGGCGAGGAGAGGAGCCTACCATGCGCTTCCCCCGGTGCAGATCGCGGGAGAGCCCAATCACAGGGCGAGCTGGACCCGGCTCTGATCATTTATAATCCTTGACTCCTCCGCTCCGCCACTTGTCAAGATGACAGGTACTTTATTTCTTCTTCTTCTTTATTCAAAAAAAGAGATTACCCGTTTACTGCCTTTTTCTGTCAAATGGGATTTGCCGGACTGAACCACGTTCGCCGCCCCTCCCTCCTTCCCTCCTCCCGACCGCTTCGGGTACGGGAAGGCACCGAGGCTCCCATGCTGTGACCAATCAGTGCATCTACTACTCTCGCCGTGATTTAGGGGTCATCCATGAATAACACTTCACGCTGATGAATGGCTCTTGCCGGCTTTCGGCTCTGATGAGGGGTCTGCCCGCCGCTGATTGCAAACACTAATGAACTTGCAGCGCCGTGTGAAATTCACGCGCGCCAACAAAGTGCGGGGGTACGTGCGTGGGGGCCTGTCCTTTTCTTCTCCGGGTGGCAGGGAGGAGGACCGAGGGGAGGGGGCGGGTAATTGCTTTGGACTGAAGTGGAAACACTTCTCTGTGTAATCAAACCTCTAACCTTCTTAGAAAACTACTTTTCTTGATCTTCCATAGGGTGGGCATTTCAGGGCAGCTGAGTCACCCGAGGAGGTGGGAGTGCGAGACACTGCCGGGAAGAGGGATTCGGAGGCAGAAGGGTGTAATTAAGGATTTCCACCCCCAGTAGGCGGTCCGTCCTTTCCAGAGCCTCTGCAAATGACCTGCGCCTTCTTTTCCTGAGCGTCCTCTCCTCCGAGACAGAAAAGCGCAAATGACCTTCGGACGGGGGAGGGCGGTACTAAACACTCAGACTTCCGCGCGAGCGCCAGCTGAGCGCTGTATTAAAACAAGTGTCCGCCCCCGGGTTCAAGTGCCTGGACCTCCAACAAGCACGAACTGACCGGGGGCGGACTCTTGAGTCTTCTGAAGGCTCCGCACCCCTCATTCATTCGTGCATTCATTCATTCCCTCCCTCCCCGCAGATTAGCTGCGGAGCTCTAACGGTCTCAACTTTGTGTGCTGTCAGAGGAAACAAAGTTTACTGCTTTGCGCTGGACACTGCCACTTCCTACTCAAGTTCTCACCAAAAACTTTGCCTCCTGGATCCCCAGGCCCAGCCCGCCTAGGCTAGAAAAAAAGCCCTGGGGGTGTGGTGGGGGTGGGGGCAAGCTTTCCAAACTGCTGGGAGCTCCCGCTGTGCCGGAGTTTGGGAACACCGAATGGGGCGGCCTCTGTGGAGCTGCTCGCTGGCTCCTCTGTCCCTTGGATCCTTCTGTCACCTTTCTGTTCTGACATCTGGCGGTGGACCGGGTGGGGCGTGCGCGCTTGGAGCCCCCTCGGTGGGGCGCCTGAAATGCCCCCGCCTTCCCGGGGACCGCCGCCTGCCCGCGAGTAGTTGAGCGTCAAAGTCCCGGCCTGTTCTCGGAAACCTGGCGGAGTGCCTGGTGCGCGCCCAGCCTTCTCGTCCCACCTCCCACGCTCAGCTTCAGAACCGCGACACCCCCGGCCTGTCCCTACTTTGACTCGGCGGGAAGGAAATAACCCTTGCCCGTGTGACTGCAGAGCGACAAACAGGTCACGCGACTGCGAAACAGGGACAACGCCGCCTAGGAAAGCCTGGGTCCCTTTATGAGAGTTACTCCAAAGTTTGGGCTAGAACTGACAAAGAGAATCCCTGAACTCCAATGCGAGTGTGCCCCGACCCACGTCCGAGCTCCTGAGGATGCTAAGTGACCCAGTCCCCGCAACGCGCGAGAAAAGTCGGGGCATAAACAAGCCCGACCTGACTCCGCGGCGCGAGAGACGCAAAGCGCCACACTCACATCTTGGCTGGAGGAACTGAGTTGCCTTGGGGTGGATAGTCGCCTTCCTGCCTTGTGAATGTCACACTTGAAAAATAAATAAGTAAATAAAGTGGTGGGGGTGGATGAATTTTATCTTCTTCTCATTCTACCATTCTCATTATCTCTTATCTTAAGAAAACTTGTCAATTATGAAGGTGTGCCCCAGATATGACGTGACAATCACACAATCTACTTAAAATTTACACCTGTGATGGGGTGGTAAGAAAACGGCGTTTCATAAATCACTTTTGCGACCCCATTCCCAACCCTCCCCCCCCCCAAATGTGTGTTTAAAACTTTTTTAAGTGTCCAACTAATACTCCGCATGCTCTTGCCCCTTGCGATTTAGGACTACACAATAAAAAGACGCTCAGCCCCCGTCTTAAAGAGGCCAGAAGAGAACTGCATGGTGACAGTTGTTTGGGGAGGAGGAATTTTTTTTCCCGAGCCTCATTATAGCTAACGCTGGTAATAAACGCAGGAAACAATAGAACTCATAAAATTTAGAAATGGTCATAAATCTTGGAGCCTGTCTCCAGCCCAGTTCCCTGCTACAGGATATTCAAAGTTTTTCAGTACGTGAGGCATGAACATTCACACGAAGTGGATACAATATGGGAAAAAAATACCCAGGAACGCTTGAGTTCGGCCCTGTGCACTCTGCCAGGCTCGCTGGTGGACAAAGCGCGCAGGTGTTCTAAGCATCTGCCTGCGCCGGGAAAATGCATCCTGCAATCCAGGCAGTTCGGGTGGCTTAACTGTGGATCTTCACTGTGTGTGCGTACGTGCGTGTGCGTGTGTGTGTGTGTGTGTTTCTCTAACAAAGAAGTTCCATCATTTGAGGCCGCTAGGAAAAGCTGACGTACAGTGCTGCACTGTACCACACACATCTTCCTTCCTCCAAATGAATCCCTGGAAAGCAGAGACAGAGCTCGCTACGTGACCATCAGGCTTTTTGCCTCACTGAGTTGTTGTCATGGGAGGGCGGGGATGGTGGGTAGCTCCTGCCGTGCCCTCGGCAGCAATAAAACTGCAGCAGGAGAAGAAAGGCAAGACATTCTGTCTGTGTGTGTAAACCTCTGGCCGCTCACAGAAACTCTGCCCAGCGCGGCTGGTGACTTGGCAGTGTTAAGGAAGCCAGGCGTGCACCGGGATAATGGGACCGAGCTGGCCGCGTCGCCTCCCCTCCGCTCCCCTTGTCACACAGATATACAGGTCTCCCAAAAGAAAACGTGTCGGAGCTTCCCTCGCAGTCCGCACCCCAATCCCTGGAAATGCACGCCTGCGGCCTTTGCTAGCTTCTAAAAAGTGCCCAGCAGGAAGATAATGGGCCGGACCTTCGGATTCACTTTGGGGTTAGGAAGGGCGTACTGGTCCTGTCAGAACTGGATGTGGTGGGAGATGGACAGACTCTTGCCCCGCTGCTGAGGCGGGGCCAGTAGCACCCTGCCTGGCTGTTCCAGCAACTCCCCAGGGGCCCAACCTCAGCCCAGGGTCGCTCCGCATCTGCAGGTGATGCTTGTCCACTTTAGTTGACATCACTTGCGCCTCCCTGGAGGTCGTTGTTTTGGGGACTGTCCGTTTTCTCCTCCAGTCCTGAAGATGCAGCTTGGAGCTGAAGGTGCTGGGTAGCAGCTGTTCCAGCCTCCCTCCCCT